CAAAATTTGACCTCACTTGACCTGACCTTGACCTGACCTCGACCTGAAATTCATCCAGAGGTGGTCCATATCACTTATTGAGTGTGCCTATTGAATTCTATGAGTAAAATGACCCATAAAACATGTGTCGCACATGCTCTTTTCTATATTTTGTTTTTGGTGACCTGACCTGACCTGACCTGACCTTGACCTTGACCTTTGAATGACATTGTATGCAACGAATATTGCCTTGGTAGTCTAAGAACACGTTTTGGGCAATCAGTCTCAGTCCATTCTTCGGCAACTACGGTGCAAGGCCGATACTGTAGAAGCTTGCATTTTGTGCCCTTGACCTGACCTTGACCTGACCTCTGACCTACTTAAGCAAGCAAATTTGGTTTCTTAACCCGGCAGTTGCTGGGGTATTTCGCCACCCACCGTTTGCTGGGGGGGGGGGGGGGCGTTAAACGCCCCCAGCCGATAACTCGAGAACCAATAGGCGCAGCGAAACGCACGAGGCGGCAAACGAAAGAACGCGACGAGACGCTTCAGATGAGTACTTTAAAGTTGAATTTTGAGGTCACAGGTCAGGTCAAGGTCAGGTCAAACACCTGAAATCGGGCTTTCAGTAGCATGGACTTCAGGACTTCGCAATGAGCGCCTCTCGTCATAAACTCTGTCAAAACGGTGCACAATCCATCATATAAGGCCTACAAGAGTGTCAGCTCCATGCAGGGGTCAGTCAAGCATAGGTCAGGGTCAAGGCCAGGTCAACCGGGCAGGCACATATCCCCGAAAATAAAAACTGATATTCGCAGCCTGTGACACATGTTTTATGGGTAATTTGGGGCGTAGAACACGATGGTGACATTCATTTTATCATATGTGTACGTGTTTGGCTAAAAAAGTTCAATTTAAGAAATTCATGCATCATGGTCGTGAAGAAGTCACGAGAAATTGCCAAGATTCAGTTGAAGATTTTGGAAAATACGGAACGATAATCAATAATCGAAGATAGCCATTTAATTCTCCATGGTATTGGCAGTCTAATGGCGTTTACGGCATGTCTATATGTCTATTCTGTGATTTTATATGATTTTTTGAACATATGCCGTTTTTGGTCGAAAACTCAGAAATCATGACGTCACTAAAACCTCGATATCTCAAAAATTTTCCGACCGATTTTTTGAAACTTTGTCACAATAAACTTCAATCAATTTCCTACAGGTGCCCAGAATTTGGCGCGCCTGCGGCGCGCCGTTTTTATGCTATGGCCCGGCGAAAAAAGTGGGGGCGTTTAACGCCCCCCCCCCAGCAACTCGCGGGTTAAGATCCGCCTTGTTGAGAGCTTTCGATTGCCGTTTTCCCCGTCTTTCTACGACCATCGCTTCCAAAGTTAGACGGGGGGGGGCAGAATCTGCCCCCCCCCCCAGCAGGGCGCGTATGGCTGAATAGCCCAGCGGGGCGCGGGTTAAACTCCGGTTCAAAACTGGCCGGGACTGGTATCATGGGAACCATGTGAAATATACAGACGAAGTTAAGGCCTCAAATGAACTGAGCGATACTGCCGCATAATCTGGGAGGAGCACAATCGGGTCAAGTTGGGGTCATGCTGACCTATGACGTCATGATCGGCCAGCGACACTGGCACCCGCGCCCGGCTGGGGGTCCTGGATTTCCATGCCCTGCTGGGGGGGGGGGGGGGTGTTTGAACACTCCCCTTCTAACTCGGCTCCTGGGCCACGTAGCGATACGCGGAAGGCGGCGTTCGAAAGAACGTAAAAAATAATGAGGAAATCACTTCGGTCAATTTTTTGGTCAGGTCAAAGGTCAGGTCACCAGAGGTCATTGAAGGCAAAATTTCGCCGATTTCCAGGTCGAATGGTGACAATTTCCAGCCAACGCAATAACTCGGGAACCAATTGATCTACAGCGCCGCGGAAAAGCGCATTCGATAGCCCTATTAACGCCCTTTCTGAATAATTTTCTCAGATTTGACTTAACGTCAACGGTTTTGCCTGTAGGGGGCAAAAACTGCAAAAATAGCCGATTTTTTTTCGGAAACAGTTTTTCTGCAATAACTTTTGACCCAAGCCTTGTACGAGCTTAGTTTTACCGGGATCGTGTTCCTCTCGTCAAGACGCATCGAATAAACTATAACTTGACCTTGAAAGGTCAACTTGAAAATTTGACCTCAGGTCAAGGTCATGACCTGACCGGAAAGGGTCATGCTGCATATCGGTCGATCCGTATCGTCGAGCTGAACACATCTAAGGCGTTTTCATCGCTCTAGCATGTCTCTATCAAAAGTTATTTGCGAAAAAACTGTTAGATACCATTCGTGACCTAAGATGACCTCAGGGCATAAACAGGAGTCACGGACACCATTTTCATGTTCAGTGTGTCTAAACCACTTGTATTTCAGTGTTTGGGAGTGTTTATAATGTCTTTCGTAAAAAGAGGCGCATTTCAATTTTCTCCCTTTGACTTACCTATGATGGGTAGGTCGCAAAATTGACCTGACCTTAGGTCATCGATATCAAAATTCTGAGATATACATTTTGTACATGCTATTGCTCTTAGCAATCGCTGAAAGGTTCAAAGCGATCGGTCACTCGGTGTAGCTATGACAGAGATTGAAACTTTTTATGAGGTGAGGTCACTTCAAGTGACCTGGTGACCTGACCTTGAATGACCTTGGTCTGAAATTTTTACAACATGTGTAGAATTGATGTGTGATAAGGTGTACCGAGATATTTGCGAAAAACCACAAGGGGGGTGTTCAAACACCCCCCCCCCAGCAGGGCGCGGGTTAAGGACGGGGAGGAGAAGGTCGCGAATATTATCTACTGATCCCTGTCAAAGATGATCTTTTTTGCTACCTCACGCGCTTCAAACCTGATTCATGCACTGTTAACCCGCGCCTGTCCGGTACTCCGCGACTTCCGCGCCGGGCCGAGGGAAGGGCGTCGGGACGGGGGAGGGTGTCTGAACACCCTCCCCCGTCTAACTCAGCTCCTGGGCCTTGTAGCGACACGCGGTAAGCGGCATTCGAAAGAGCGTCAAAAATAATGACGGAAGCACTGCGGTCATTTTTTTGGTCAGGTCAAAGGCCAGGTCGCCAGAGGTCATCAAAGGTCAAATGTAGTCCATTTCAACAATTTTGGAAACTGCCAACGGCTAACTCGGGAACCAATAGAGCTACAGCGCCGCAGAAAAGCGCATTCGATAGCCCTTTTACAGATCTTTCTGGATATTGTCCTCAGATTTGACCTAGGTCAACGACTTTAGCCTCCAGAGGGCAAACACTAAAAATAGCATTTTTCACGAAAACTGTTTTTCGGCAATAACTTTTGACTCAAGAGTGCCACGACATTACTTTTGGCAGCATCATGTTCCTCTCGTCTAGACGCGTCGAATGAGCTATTTGTTGAGCTTGAAATGTCATTTTGAAAATTTGACCTCAGGTCTAGGTCATGACCTGACCGAAAAGGGTCATGTTGCATATCAGTCGATCCGTATCGTCGAGCTGAATACATCGGACGTGATTTCATCGCTTTAGCACGTCCTTATCAAAAGTTATAGCAAAAAAACTGCTGGTGACCGTTAATGATCTGAGATGACCTCAGAGGCACACAGAGGGGTCACAGGTGCATTTTTTTCCGATTCAGTGCGTCTTGTTTACCAATGAACAGATGTTTGAGAGGGTTTTGAACATCATTTCGTCCAAAATAGGCGCATTTCAATTTCCTCCCATTGACTTATAATGGAGAGGTCGCAAAATTGACCTGACCTTAGGTCACCGATATCAAAATTTCGAGAAGAACATTTTGTACATACTGTTACTCTTATCAATCGCTGAAAGTGTCAAGGTGATCGTTCAGTCGGTATAGCTATGACGAGGATTGCAACTTTTTCTGAGATGAGGTCACTTGACGTGACCTGGTGACCTGACCTTGAGAGCGCTGGGTCTGAAATTTTCACAACATATGTAGAAAAGATGCATAAACAGGTGTGCCAAAAACGGTAGCGCGGAGCGCCGCCGTTTTTGAGATATCTGCGAAAAAACACAGGGGGGGGGTGTTCAAACACCCCCCGGCCCGGCGCGGGTTAACATGGTTGTACATATGCCTTTTTGTGTTATGTCATCCTTGAGTAACATCATATAAGCTGTCAGTGATTTCACATGAGGTTATTTGGGTTTTAACCAATAATTCGCCTTCAAATTGTGAGAGTCGAAGAAGACACCAACGTACTCGGAATGAGCTGCCGAATCGAATGATAAGTGAGAGGACCTCCGTAGCATCATGTCATGACTTGGACGAAATTTGACCTGACCTTGCTTGGCCTGAGTTCAACACTTTACCGGTTACCCGTGCCCTGCTGGGGGGGGGGGGGGGGTGTTACACATCCCCTAGCGGAGCGCGGGTTGACCCCTCCCCCACACTCGGATATCTGTCTGAAACAGAGGTGGCAAAAGCAAAAGATAAAAATTTTGGGAGCCAGACTCGAACCAGACCCGGTTGGACATTTCTGGAACCAGTCGGATCCGGTCTTAGTTGGAATCGGAACCAGTTGGACCCGTTCCCCAAAAGTCAATTAATACAAACTACTTGTAGGTATCATTAGTTGCATAATGTAAAACAGCCTATTTCCCACTTGGAATACTCATGAGCTACGGTGTGCAAAGAAACATTCACTTCATATTTTGCAATAATGTGTAGTGTGCAAGATGTATAGTTTATGGTAGGACCCGGTTGGACCCGTCAGAAAATTTTCCCGGAACCGGTCTGGACCCATATGGGTCCTATGGACCGGGTCCTCGGGTCCCCATTTTGCAACCTCTAGTCTGAAGGCTCAGTCAAGAACGGGTTACACTCTGCATTCCATTCTAGTTCGTTGGTGCATTGGAATCTGTTCTCTCTGTCCCCCCCCCCCCCCGAGATTCTCAAGAACGATCACCACCCCACCCGCTGATCTCGCCTCCGGATTCCTCGTCGGCCTCTCCTCATAAACACGCGTTAACAGGCTACACCACGAGCGGTACGTATTGTTTATTTATGCACGGTCCAATACAGTGTCTGGCGCGTGGCCGGCCGCCCCTCTGGGCCCGGCTTGGGCGCGCCAGTGCGGCGGAAACCAGCCCAACTAAGGTGCCCCTCTGTGGCAGCGCGGCGGTCATCGGCATTAGTCAGCACACAACAACAGGTCAATCATGGGTCGCTACACATGCAAACACGTCGGCCTCTGGTAATACTAGGGCGCTCTGCTATCGGGACGACCAGAGATCCCGCCAAACACAGCTGGTCACGTTAAATACGCAGCAGTTCGCGGCACGGGAGAGGGCAAGGCCACATCACGCAGCTCTTGTTGCAGTGGTAACCGTCACGAATGTGACGCATTGTGACGCGTCACGGTCATTCAAGGGCAGTCTTGTCATCGATGAAGGGCCAACGGAGGCCGTCGTGAGTAGAGCTCGAGAAGCTTTCGGCGATGGAATCTGATCACGGTTCAGTACACGACTTATGAAGTCCAGCCTGACTCATAGTTCGTAGCATTTAAATACGATCCCATTCAGCTTCTCCAAGACATTATCGGCTTTATGACACCCCGCTAGAAACAACTTGGTCCTCTTGACGCCGGGTCCATCGGCGACCCCGTGACCATGGTGAGAAGCAGCGACTCTGTTCGCCGCCGCTCGGGTTCACGTTGTGACTGGGTGGGAGGCCGGCGGGCCCCGGTGGTGTCGACTGCCTGTCAGCTGGCCGGGGCGGTACTCGGCCCACGAGAGAGCAGAGAACGAGTCCATCGGGCCGACGGCGCGGATAGCCAGCTGCAGCTGGGAGGCCAGTCGCAGCGAGGGCAGCAGCGCCTTGGTCCGCTGCGGGTTCCGGATCACCTGCTGTAGCCGGTTGTTGACGAAAATCTGCCGACAAAACAACGACAAAATCAGCGTAATGCAGCTTTTATGCCGTTCTATTAGTCGTAACATTTAACGGGAGAGAGGGTGCAAAAGCGAAAACATGAATTAGAGGATATCCTAACGCATCGTGAATCTTTCAAATTAGTTTTTTTTTAGCAACTATTAATAAATAAGTCACTTTAATGACTACAAATATCTCGGTCAAGACGACGATCTTTATGAATCCTTCAGTGGTAACATTTCCACTGATCCAAACTTCCTTGAAAAATACACGTTTTGTAGCATCGTGCACCCCATTTACGCATCCATCTCCTCCTCTATGTTTCGGCGTCTTACCTCGTATCCGGAGATGCGCTGGTCATCGGACGGACTCCAGTAGATGAGCAGGCTGTCGCCGCCCACCGCCCGGATAATCTGAAAATTCTCCGGCGGCGGCAGGGCCGGCGGAGGTGCAGTCTTGTGCGCCATCGACCGTGGGTGCGGGTGTGAGACCCGCTCCCGCGCCTCGGCCGTGCTCCGGTACGGCCTGGCTACGCCAACGGGCGGGACCTGACGTGCTCCGCGCTTGGGCTGTAGGCAGCGCGGGACCGGCGCCTTGGTCCGCGGCAGCTCCTGAGGATGCACGGAGAGAGAGGAGGGTTAAACGGGGTGGACATCAGAACGTGCCAGTCGCCCGTACGTGCCGATAACAAGCGTCAATATTTATGAATGGACATCGCACATGAGCGACAGTAGCATGGAAGCCAGACGTCTGGCATGTCGACATGATGAAACCGGTTAAACACATCAGCGAAATGGGAATTTCCGATTTCTTTGAGGGCTCCAGACAGACCTAAACATGCCAGTTGATAGCCAACAGATGCCTCTAATTATCAAATATAATCCACCCAATGTGCATTCCTTTGACCCTTATATCGACACTGACGGCCGTACCAGTCGACCCTTACGACCCCACCCGGTGCACGTATGACCTCGAGCGTGACCTTGACACTGACCTTTCTGGGCGAGTTGGGTGGCGTGCTCTCCCTGCTCCTGGGGACGGGCCGCGGGATCCTGGATCCGGCTCCCGCCTGCTCCGGGGACGAGGTTCTGCTGGAGCGGCTCCTCAGAACACGCTCCCTCATCACCTGACGTGTGTGGAGACGAAACATGGGTTAACAGGAAGGTTGCAATCTGCGGGGTTGAGTTATAATAAGTCAGCTATAAAGGCCGTTATTTAGCTGTTACTTACCGCAATGACTGGGAAACGAAATGAAGGAAAACTTTATGTAGGTATTAACTTCACCACTGCAATCTTAAATCGAATTTCACAATGCAGCTTGGCCCGTTCTTACTGGGAATCCTGGCTGTCCCCGCAGTTCGCCCTCTTACCGTGACGATCTGCTGCAGGATCTGACACACCATCTCCCTGTCCAGGTCCTGTCGGTCCGACTCCTGCTCGGCCGACTCCCTCAGTCCTCGCACTAGCGCCGCCGCTTGATGCGCCTCCAGCACGGCGCGCAGGTGGCGCAGCACCGCCCCCAGCAGCGCGTCCTTGCCGTCAGCGCGCGCAGCCGCCTCGTCGCGCGCGAACTGCGTCTGCGCCAGCAGCTCGCTCAGCCGGCCGTGCTGCAGCCGCTGGTGCTCGAGCAGCGCGTCCGTCTCGCCGAGCCGCGAGCGCAGCTGGCGCGTCTCGCGGTCGCGCTGCTCCAGCTCGGCCTGCAGGTAGGAGCCTTGGCTGTCCACCAGGCTCAGCTCCTCCTCCTTAGCGACCAGCTCCCGGCGCAGCTCTGCGCAGCACGCGCCCTCCGGCAGGTCGGCCGTCTGGATGGCCGAGTCCAGCAGCTCCGGACGGGGTGGCTGGGAAGGCTCGGAGGACAGCGCCGCCGCGGCTGAGGCCAGGTTCTCGGCGTCTGCGGAAGAGCGAGAAGGTGGAAGATGTGTAAAAGATGCAACTAGGGCGAACCGTCAGTAGTCACACACAACGTGAACAATAACACGTTGTAACAATTAAGCGTTATTTTTTCTATTGAATTCATGATGTACGTGATTGTACTCGATGTATCATTATAAAGCCCTAGGCCTGTAATCAGATCACCAGTAGCGCCCTCTTCAAGTGTCGATGTCAACTGAGCAGCTACAACTGCTTGACTGATCGCCGCAAGTAGCGCCCCCTGAGGTATCGGAGAAGTTTCCCGTACCCCTGAGCTGCGACTGCAGCGACTGGTCGCCCTGACCGCCGCTCAGTAACTCACCCCCCCCCCCCCCTCCCTCCAATGTGTCCCCTGTCTTCCTACCTCTGAGGTGCGACTGCAGCGACTGGTCGCCCTGACTGCCGCTCAGCTATACTTTCCCTCCCCCGGTGTGTCCCTCATCTACTTACCTCTGAGCTGCGACTGCAGCGACTGGTCGCCCTGGCTGCCGCTCAGCTACTTTCCCTCCCCCCGGTGTGCCCCTCATCTACTTACCTCTGAGCTGCGACTGAAGCGACTGGTCGCCCTGACTGCCGCTCCGTACCCATTCCCCTGCGGCATCTCCCTACCTCTGAGCTGGCTCTGCAGTGACTGGTCGCCCTGACTGCCGCTCAGCTACTTCTTCCCCCGGTGTGTCCCCTGTCTCTCTACCTCTGAGCTGCGACTGTAGTGAATAGTGACTGATCGCCCTGACTGCCGCTCACCCCTGCGGTATCTCCTTACCTCTAAGCTGCGACTGCAGCGACTGGTCGCCCTGACTGCCACTCAGCAGCAGGGTGAGCTGCTCCAGCTCCTGAATAACCGAGCGGAGCGCACCGTCCACCTCGCTCGTGCATTGATCGCAGTTCTGAAAACAAATTTAAAACTGTTAAACCGCATTCCCCAGCAACACGAGTTAATTAACGAATGAGGCCAGCTGGATTTACCAACCAGCTAAAGCAGCAACTGTTTCTCTTTTTTTGAGAACGACAAACAAACAGCGTTGCAGGTAGCAAAGTAACCGCATGGACAAAAAGCCATCATAGCCCTCTACCAAATCCCTCCCAGCACGCCTACCTGGATTTTCTCGTTGCTCTGTTTGGCGAGCGCCAGCAGTTTGACGAGCGTGTTCTCCTGCTCGGCCAGCAGGTCGAGCTCGCCGGTCAGCTGCGTCTTGTCCAGCTCGGCCAGCTGTTCGGAGAGGGCGTTAATCTCCTCCTCCCTCCTGCTGATCTCCAGGTTCAGCTGCAGCACGTCCTGCTCCGAGCGGCTCTTGCAGCCGTCCAGCGCGGCGCGCAGGTCCGCGTTCTCGCTCTGAGGGGGGGGGGGGGGAGGAATCAGAGTTAAACAGAGTAATTGAAGGAATGTTCGACGTCTTTACATGCTTTCTCAATAGCAAATTATCATCGAATGTGTGATTTATGGCGTAATTCCTTTTTCTTTGCATGCAGGATGTCGGCACGTACCTGAGTCTTCTCCAGTTGGTCCCGAAGCTGGCACGAGTACGAGTCGTTATCGTTCAGCTGGCTGTTGACCAGAGACAGCTGGTTCCTGAGCTTGCATACCTGAAGGCGAAAAAGACGAATATTAGTCAGAAGATCCGGACATTAGATGTCCAAGAAAAGACTTTGATGAGGTTAAATGAGAGAATCGTTAAATGAGAGAATCGTTAGGTCACTGATGTCTCGTCCGTAAAAGTTCATTATTCTAAGCCTTCAAGGTAAACATATAATTATAAATATAAATACAATTATTGATTAATAGATGTTCCATTTAACGGTCTCCCTAGCAATACAGAGCTCATCGCCCTCACCTCGTTCCTGAACTGGGTCTCTGTCTCGTTGGCCGTGCCGCTGGTGGTCTCCAGGTCGCGGTGCACGTCCTGCAGCTGCCGACGGGCCTCCTGCAGCTCCCGGCGCAGCTTGGAGCGCTCCTCGCCGCTGTCAGCAGCGGCCAGCTGTAGCTCCTGAATGCTGGCCTGGAGCGACTCCACGTCCTGCTGGAGGGAGGACACCTGCTCCGCAGAGCGACGCTCCCTGTGGGAACACATAAAGGGTTGGTAAGGAGAAAATGGTTGGCGTTCTGCGTTCTACTGATGGGGATTCAAAAGGGGGTAATCACTAGGAGAAACTGCCAAGAGGGGATCGCTAGCACATAGTGTCGTCATTCAGCTAAATAATCAGAAAGACAGTAACAGGGCGCTGAGTACATGACGTGGGAACATAGAATGTGCAACTAAGGATAACATATGTATAAGTTGGCATATGATTCATATTTCATACTGACTTGTGCGCCTGTGCGTTCCTGGTGTTGCGCAGCGTCTCCTGCAGGGTCAGCTCGGCCTGTTCCAGCTCCTCGATCCGGCCGCGCAGGAACTCCTCGCTCTGCTGCAGCTCGGCAGCGCGCTGGCGCAGCGCCGGCAGCACCGCCAGCTGCTCGGTGGCGGCCGACAGGTCGCGCCGCGCCGTATCCAGCTCCCGCAGCAGCTCCTCCTGGTCCCGCAGCTCGTGACGCAGACCCTCGGCGGCGCGCTCCTCCTCCCGCAGACGGATGCTCAGCTCGCGCTCACGACGCTCCAGGCGGTACACCTAGCAGGAGGAGAGATGTCAATGGTTAGAACGAGCGGGGTGCTGGAGGGACAGTCGACTTTCAGAAGCTCTTCAAGTGAGCAAACGTTTAAGACAATTTTAATAGTTGAAAAAAACCAGACGGATGCTAGATTCGTAGACGAAGATGAATAACAAGAAGAAAACAATAGCCACGCTTACCTTCTCTTTGAGTTTGAGATCTTCGTTCTCGGTCTCGATCAACTTGTCCAGGAGCTCGGTGACCCGGTCCTTGTCGTGTTTGCCGTTGCTGACGCTCTTCAGCGCCTGCTTCAGCTTAGCTTCCGTCTCCTCCATCAGGGTGATCTTGTTCTTGTCCTCCCGCAGTTGATCCTCGAGTTCTTCGATCTTCTTCTGATACCGGATCTCCACATTGTGCATGATCTTGTCAGCCTCTTGCAAGGTCTCGCGGTAGGCCCCCTCCTTCTTCTCGAGCTCGTGAACCTGGCTGGCGAGGTCCTTCTGGCTCTGATGCAGATGCCGGACGCGGTCCAGCACCAGCGTGTAACACGGATCCGGCGAGTCCCGACCGGAGTCCACCTGGCACAGGTCGAACTCCACCTTCAAGGCGTTGATGACGTCCTCCGCCGCGCGCATCCTCCGCTTTAGCAGAACCTGCTGCTCCTGCAGCGACTGCGCCTTCATGGTGTGTGACTGAATAAGCTCGTTACGGTCCTTCTCCGAGCTCTTGGCCTGTTCTCGGAGCTCCAGTTTCAGCTGCGCTACCTTCTTCGAGAGGGACTCCTTGGCTGACTCGCCGTCCCGGAGAATCTCCTCCATCTTCTGCTTCAGTTCACAGCTCTCCTGACACGTCTCCTCGACCTGCTTCAGCATGGACGTCTTCTCCTCCTCCCAGCGCTTCCGCAGCTCCGCCTTCTGCGTCTCCAGCTCCTGGATACACTCAGAGTAGTAGCTCTCCCTCTCGGACAGGTTCGAGTCCATCGAGTTCTTCGGCGACTCCATCGACTCGACTTCTCCCAGCCGCTTGGTGCACTCGGTGCACATTGTGACATCGGAGGACAGGGTGGCTGAGGACACATCCGCCTCCTCCGCCTCCTCTTCCGCCTCCGTCCTGGGGCGCTTGGCCGGCCGTGCGGCAGGTGTCGCCGCGCTCGCAGCAGATGGCGTCGCTTCGCTCTCGGTCGCCGAGGCCCGGGACAGCTCGTCGCCGACGCCGCTGTCGTTGAAGCTCCAGGCCTGGTCGAGCCGGCGGGTGAGAGACTCGGTGTTGGTAACGCTGCCGGGAGTGGGTGGCGGCAGCGAGGTGTCGCTGGCGGACGCCGCCGCGTCTCCCGAGGACAGCGTGTCGCTGGTGGAGCCGTCCGCGGCGCGCCACGTCTGCCAGGCGCCGTCCACCGCCTCCGTCTGCTGCTCGCGGTCCTCGGCGGGCGCACGCTGCGCCGCCTCCTGCAGCCGCTGTGTCAGCGCCTCCACCTCCCGCTCCAGTTGCTGCACACGCTCCGTCATCTGGGCCGGCAGCTCGGCGGCCTGCGCCTGGCGCGCCTTCAGGTCGGCCTGGTGCTTCAGTTTGACGCTGTTCAGCTGTCGCTGCAGCTGTCGACACCGCTCCTGTTCGTCCGCCAGGTCCGAGCTCAGCATCTTTTCCACCTCGTTAGAGGCGAAGATTTTCATCTCCAATCTGTGAAGTATAACATGTTTCAAGAATGACATTACCATCAACAATTACAAAACGCTGAAGCATGGAACAAGGTTAGTAAAATCAATCTCATTAACCCTATGTTACGATTTAAATAATCGATTCACAGCGTCACAAGTTGTAACGTAATAACTAAATTAATGGCACTGAATTCGTCAATAAGCGTAAACGGCTGGACAACCTTGTGCTGGATAAATACATTAACTGCAATGGGCCTCGTTTCAATAAATTGTCGGATATTAATTATTATCACACGCAATGACCAAAAAGAGGCGACTTAAAATATTTGTAATAAGACCTTTAAATTAAACCTGAACGCGTGCAGCAGCCAGCAAGTGAACACTCAGCGCCACCTGTGAGCACCCACCTTTGGACCATGAGTCTGGCGTCATTCTCCGCCTCTTCCAGCTCATTTTTCTCATCCTGCACGGCGTCGCACGTCTTTTTTACCTTCTCATAGCGCTCACACATGTCCTTATAGTCACAGAGGAGCTGGTCATGCACGTACTCCGTCTGCACCTCCGCACATACACTCACTGTCCTCGGCTCCGGAACAGGCACCTCGCTCACCTCAGTCACTAGTTCACTCGCCTCCTCCGACTGTTCCGAGTCGGCATGTCGAATTCGTGCTGCTATCGGCAGCGGGGACTTCTCCAGCTGCTCTTGGACGCTGGTCAGACGCGCGATCTCGCTGGTCAGGTCAATCAGCTCTCGCATCGACACCTCGCTCTCCTGGATCTCGGTCTGGACGGCCTTCTCGTCGACATCGACGTCGAAGATGCCGCTCTCCTGGAGCGGCGGGTGGTCAGGCGAGGCAAGCGGTCGCGACAGCCGGCCGCCGCACAGACACGAGCCTCCACTACTGCTGGCAGGGCTGCGGCGCGCCGACTGGCCGTCGTTAGAGTCGCTGTGGTAGTCGGACAGCTCGGACTCGGAGTGACCAGACGGCTGCCGCTGGTGACCTGAGGTCAGCGGAGGCGGTGGTGACGCCGCCTCGGTCAGCGCAGGCGGCGGAGGTGAGGTCGGAGGCTTGGCGTCGGTGCTCGGTGATAGGTGGTGGCTGCCGGCCTCCTCCAAAGCGGCCTCCAGCTGTAGGATGGTGTTCTGAAGCTCGGCGATTTTCTGAGAAAGAGAGGGAAACGTATTGTAACATTTGCATTGAGATTGCCACTATGAATGAATTGTGTGACTTGATTTTGTGCTTTGCTCTGCTAACATCACGTGCAACATTCCGTAAGCTACGTCTTGCAAGAGTGCAATGTCAAATGATAAGCAAAGCACCTTCACTGCTTTTTTAACAGAAATATCGTGTGAATTTCTTTGCTTGCTATGCATTTACTTCACCGCACCAACAACTGAATGCTGACTACGCCATTAACCACCAGTGAAACGTCACTTTCTAATTGTAATAGCTTTTGAACCGCACATCGAACGCGTCTAGCCACCCGGGTCAGGGAAAATGTACGAGCAAAACGAAAGCTCCACCAGCAAATGGCAGCCACACCTAGCTCGAGGGCACGACCGACCGACACATCCACCCCGCCTCTGTGACCTGGCTCGTTTCCCACGCCATTGGCTCACATCCCTTCTATGAGCAGTTCCTAACCGCGAGGTAAAACTCGCAACCAAACGATTATCCCGTACACATGACGCAATATGCAGCTCGTCGGCACAGTCGGGCGTAGTTAGACGTATGCAGGCATGCATGTGTAATGCCCAGACGCGCATTTGTCCAGCGGACCGATGAAAATAGACGCTGTTCTGTTTCGTCAAGCGCACTGATGCGCTGTGGATGGGTGCATTGCCTGGCGACGGGACGTGAAGCGACGTCCAGAGAGCCACATTGGATATACATGGTATCCGATTGCACCACAGTCTCTCCGTGGGGTCGTCCCAGCAGCAGTGTTCGACCCGAGTGGAGCCAGAGAGGCTCGCTCTGCGGTTAGCTTGGGACATTGAACGAGACGCGTGATTCACGCCTAGCCGTGGCGAGCAGAGCTGATGAGCCATACGCCGGCATCCCGGCGTTTGGTGATGTGTGAATCACGAGCAATGGTAAAGAAGCAATGACACTCGACACCTCATCACCAATATTTACAAAACAGTAAGCTAAAATGTCGTATACAAAGAGAGCACTAATTTCGTAGAACACGTTCGACAAATCCTTATCCGTTACGAAGGCGATCAGTCAATCACTCGACAAAGAAATGACACGAGGTATGCAGATCACCATAAACAAAACAAAGATTCTCGAGTTGCCCGTCCGGTTAGAAAGCTAAGTAACAAACCAGTTCATTGAAAATAAACAGGGTGCCGAGCTTCTGTCATTGATCCCATTCATACAAACAAGCTTCTGAGCTGCACTGCACGCCCGCTCTCAGCTTAAGCCCAAACAGCGCGGCTACTGAACTCACCATAAGCCCTCCGTGCCCAAACACCTCTCTAGCGCGTCAGCTTTTTGCACGGGCCAGCCTATCACAACGCCTCCATTGCAATGGCCTTTGTTTGCTCGGCGTAAAAGACGGCGCAAAAACCTCGCGTGGCACACTTGGGGGTCGCCGCGCACGGCTCGCGGGGCTCGCGGTTTCTGTGTGGGCCGGTGTCAGTGAGCACGGCTGGGCAGTGGGCACACGGGGCAGTCTGGACGGACAGCTGAGCTGGCCCCGTCCCGTCCCCACGGCTGGAGTCCACAGCGCCTGATCAATATGACCGCGCAAGGTCGCCGCGCCGGCCCGCCGCCGGCCCGCCCGGCCAGCCCCGCGGCAACCGCAACTGCTCCGCGAACGCGAAACGATCTGCAGGGCGCTCACAGATCATGGCGTTTCTGCAACACGGCCGTCACGGCTGCAGGGGCGGCCTCAGGCTATAACCAGCGGAGCGGGGACGGCGGGGCGGCCCGCGACCCGGCCCGGCGGCGCCCCGGTCGATATGGGAGCGGGCGGTGGCTGCGCTCTCAACATGTCTCGGACGGAGGGTTACAGGGTGACCTGTCGTAATACCGCTACTCCAGCCACGCACGGGTCACGCCGTCAGGTCACACGCTGGTCACGGATACACCACGAACGGTAACGCACCAACCACGCACGGTCACGGGCGGGTCACGACGGTAACACACCCGTCACGAAGCGCCGTGATGGGCCGCGCAGGCACCGACACTCCCCTCCCATACCACCACACACGCACGCACACCCCATTTAGCCCCACAGACCACTACCGGTTCTCTCACCTCCTGCCAGTGATGGCGCTCCTCTCCGAGGGCAGCTAGCTGGTGTTCTGCCGGCGGCTGGGCGGGGGCGGGGGCGGGGGCGGGGGCGGCCTCGATGGCCGCCGGCGCCACACTGTGCCGACGATCCTCTCCAGCCGCCTCCAGCGTCTGCGCAGACAGAGGGGAGAGAGGGGAGGGGTCAGAGGGCCGCCCATCAGGCGCCAGATGCCGATCGGGGGAGATGAGTCAGGGAGGTGAGGGGACGGTGATAAAATGGCCGGGTAAAATATGGGGGCAAACATACTCGTCCAGCCTGAGGTATAGTTTACTGGAGCAGGGCAAATCGTTCAACCGAATGACCGATTGGTGCACATTAAGGATTGTGAAGGCTCGACGACAGATGTGTGGGTCTTGGTTTCTGGCGAAGCTTACGTCATTGTCGAGAGCATCTCAAAACCGACACCAGAATTCAATGAGACTGAAGTCGAAGGCTACAGTCTGAACGACATTCAGATATGGAGATAAAGACGAATGAAATATTCAGACACAAGCGACAGAGATCGATCACAAGAATACGATCCATAAATTCGCATGTGTGAATATAAACCACGAGAAAGCGACACAGAAATGACAAGCTAGAGACCACAACGGACTAAACAACCGTCCACGGGAGCCTGGGCAGAAACAAGGTCTGAACAAAGGCGCGACGGGAGATGACGATGTTGTGGGAGCGGCCGACAGTCACGGCGCGGGTCTCACAGGAGACAAGAGAGACCAGGAGACGCACGGGAGACACGAGAGACAAGGGACTCGGAAGTGGCACGGCAGTGATGGATGGCACTGGGTGAGGGTGGTGCGTGGGTGGGCACTCGGCCCCGGGCCCAGTCGTACTTCAGACCAACCGCAGGGCTGTAGCCTGCAATGTCTGATACGAAGAGACGAAATGGATTGAGAGAGAGACAAAGTAAAAGAAAATGGCCGTTTTATTTGTTTCATTTGTTAGTAACATTAAACTATGGGGAATATTTGTTTCTGGTCCCTAAAAAGCTGTTTCTGGCACCTAATTGCTGATCAGCCCCAAAATGCTTATTCGACCCTAATATCTGAATCTGGCACCTAATTGCTTCCACACAGCCTAAAGTTGCCAGATCGTCTAGTTGAACTCCGTATTTGCTGTTTGCTGATTCAGCACCAAAACCAAAACATCCAGCACCTATTTTATTCCACGTTTGCCTACCTAATTCGCGTAATCTTCCTGATTTTATGTATCCTAACAACATGAACGTTGCATTCGGAGATGTCAAGTGCCATTTTCGCCAGTGGAGATAATGATTAATGCCATTTCTAGCCAAAAGAGAATCACTAGCCAGCTATGGTGCAGCATAGCAAGACGCTCCTATACCAGCCCGCTATGTCTTAGAGATTATTGCACCCTCAGCCATTTTAACGTGAAAAGTTTGGATCCGTCACTTCCAGCCAGGCTCTCAGGTCATAAACTGGAGTAAAGCAAAATGTCAACTCTGAACAGACATGCCACGCAACCGGCCCTCTTTTCAATATTATTAGCTTTCTGCAATCATCGTCTGACTCCATCTCGATCAAACGCAGCATCCGGCTTCTACAGGAGCGTTTGACTGATCGGCCACACAATAACCAAAAACAAAATCAAAGCTTCATGCACACATATGCCATACGTAAGAAACGGATGAAAAAGGCACAACCACGGCACAACTCTGCGCGGCAAGCAACGGACAATGTCCCACGCAAGATCCCGCGTTTCTTCAGCGGCCTTGAACGGAATGAAAACATTACATTTCTTTTTTGGAGCTATTTGATGACGTCAAAAAATACAATACCCGTTTTAATGGTCAAAATCGAGACAATTACTCACAAAAATGTTTCTCTTTAAGCATTACAAATAAATACTTTTAAATATTTAAATGACATTGTTTTTTCAAACAAATTAATATTATTTGCTTACTTAAACGTCATATACAATGCTGAGATCACTACGGGGCTGTCTTAGAGTGTAGCTGCACTGGCAACCTTTAGGCTAGACTCCATGGGTCATTATACCAGAACAACATGATTCTACCAGCCAGTAGTTCATTTTTCTCCTAGATTGGTGCTACGCTCAGCATTTAGGTGCCAGATTCAGAAAAAAGAGTAAGGCGTACCGATGAATAGGTGCCAGAAACAGCTAATTAAGGTCATTTTCCATGATTGGTGCTGGTATCCACCAAATAGGTGCTGAGGACCAATTTTGGGGCGAGTCAGCTTTTAGGTGCCAGAAATAGCTTTTCTGGGACGCAATTAAATGGCGTCCTTAAACTATTCGCCTCGAATTCATTTAGGGTTCAACTTTAAAATTCATTGACCCAGCTACACTTACAGTCCGTAACATTTGTTTACCACCCGCACACGCTGCATTAGCATTTAGTTCCGGAAAACGGTACAACAGACGTCACTTTGTAAACCCGGTCGGAGTTCGCAGATGAGGCAGACAGCCGGCAAACAAAAGGTGGTCACACGAACGGCGGGGGGCGGGAGGGGAGGAACAGTGCAGGTTCAGCCGCGCCTGGAGGGTGACAGAGGAAGTGATTGGCGCCCGCTGAAGGTAACGGTGAAGATGCCGGGCCCGTAATGAGGCGAGAAGAACACAACGGAACCAATCCGGTTACTCGGTCACGGCCCGTGAGCCCCAACCGGGCCGGGAGGGATGAGAGCGGCAGAGCACAACAAAAACAGCACAGCCTCCGTGAAACGCCGGGAGATTCCGAGCTTCATAACCCGTGAACGCGGGTACACGAGTGATAGTTTTATGCGGTGTTTTCCATCGGGGAACAGCGTTAGAAATCTCGGACAGGTTTCCCCACCGTTTGAGCGTGCAGCCTGACTGCCCTCCGCTCCGACCGAAGGAGACATCCTGAGCTGCTGTTACGGTGGGTGGGCTGTGTGGGCCCGCGGGAGGGCAAGGGAGTCGGAAAGTTTCGTCTGCAGTCGTCACGGTGCAGCGCGCAGCCGTGCCGAGCGTCGGCAGACACCTCAATCACGGCAGAACGAGCACACTTTCTCGTCTTTGCCTTCCAGCAGCACGGGGTGATCAGAAACAAAGCCGCACGTCTCACCTCAGAGCCGCTGTCTGCGGAGTGTCAAACCTGACAGCTTTGGAGGCTTAGGAAATCAGTACAAATGACATGATTATTGAACGGATGTCGATGATAAATGGCTGCTGGTTTCAGGCATGTTCGAGGACTGTTGAGCTCATAATAACGAGTTGTAAGAAGGTGATGAATGGTTGTTACGAGCGAGCGAGCGCAGCGAGCGAAGTGAGTCTTTTCAATATAACGGAAAAATCTCAGTATGAGCGGCCCGGCCCGGCCCGGCCCGGCCCGGCCTGTAACGTTTTTGAGAGGCTTATATCTCAGCAACCGCTGGACCGATTGGCCTGCGGTCTTTTTTGTTGGGTAGCCCCATCCCTTCTACCCCGTAATTGACTACTTTTGATACATCTCAGTGACGGTCGTGGCACGTGCCACGTGAAAAGTCAAGGGTGTTCAAGCTGTTTTGCAAAAGTAGTGATTTTGAGAGCCTCATATCTCAGCAGCCGCTTGGGCTATTGACTTGCGGTAATTTTTGTAGGGTAGCAGCATCCCTTCTACCCAAAATAGGATACTCTCGATGCATGTGGGTCACCCCCAGTGCACGTGCAAAATACAACAATAAGAGGTGCCAAATTTGTTCCCATTTCAGTAACTCGGTAATTACTGGGGCGATTTCGCTGAAACTTGGCATACAGGTAGGCACCCACCAGGCAATGCATTCCCATGTGTTGCGGTTAGGGTGCTACTGCACGTGCGCACGTGCAGGGGGCGTTTCCAGATCTCGAGAACGGCTGGGCCGATTGCGCTCAAATTTGGTACACGGTTGGGGACCAGTTAGTAGGGTGCCGTGCAAAAGTCATTTTGGACCCCGTTTGCACGTGCGCACGTGCAGAATGCCGCTTCCAGATCTCAGGAACGGCTGGGCCGATTGCGTTCAAATTTGGCACACCGCTAGCGACCGGTTAGAAGGGTGCTTTGCGCAAGCCCGTTGGAAGCACCCTCTCGCCCTTCCGCACGTGCAGGGCTCACTATCTCGCTCGCTCGTTCTTCGCCCAAAAGGCGTTTTACTGGTAATATTCGATCGCTCGGTGATTTTATAAATCCAGCCATCCAGAAATGATTTGAAGAGACAGGGCAACTAATCGAGGGGCAAGCATTCACTTGGTGGTGACAGCACTAGACGTAATAATTGGTACCTACCGGTGTGAAAATACGCAATCAAACCTTCACTTCACAATGAAATCGAGGATTAAAACGTTAGAAGGCAACCATAAAAATAACTACTAACTTCTAGTTCTGGTTAATTACACCTCTCGAAATTAACCCCAGACATGTGTGACCGACTTCCTCATAAAACAACGCATAAACGATCATTTTCCCGACGGCAAACCATCCCGACGCCGGCACAGTTCCCTTGCTTTGATACCCCAGAGATCGGAGTGATAACTGATGGCACTACCACCGGCCAGTGAAGACGGTTAACGACAGCCCGCTGCCCGGGGTGCGGCGCTGCACGTCTCTGGACGCCGGAGCTGTCAGAGTGCCTCGACCGGACCGTTTCTAGGCTGTGAGGCCAACGGTGGCCGGTGGCGTGACGTGAATGCGGATGCAATCTCAGATAGCCCGTCTGATATTCGACAAACAGGGTCAGGTCACGCCAGGCAGGCTGGGTGTGTGAGGTTACGGTCATTTCGTTAGGAAAATCACACCAGGTCACCCGGTGTGTGATGATGATCTGCAAGGATCACAAAGGAACGGGACAGATAAAGCAGCTTATACATGAGATGCATCAGTATCATAGCACATGCGCTACATATTCGGGGTCAGATTAGTCAGGAAGAGCCAGGTCAGTCAGAAACTCACTCCCTCTCGCACACCTCTGTCGGCCACTGCGCCGCGGGGAGTGCGTAGAATACGCCGGCCCGCTGAGTGTATTCCGCAGGCGTACGGTGCATTAATTTCCCATCCTGTCCGAGGGCCGCGGACAATTCGTCGCCGCCAGGCCGTCCGTCGGCCCATCCTGAATATGGCTAACGGTGCGGCCGATTAATAATAGTGAGAACG